GGGAGAAGGGTGCAACAATGAATGAATGGAATTCCAAAATCTCTGTAGATGTTCATTGAAATGAAAAATAAATAAATTAAAATATTTTTAAAAAGTTGGAAATAGAAGTAACACTTGATCTAGCTATGATCTTTTCCATTACTTGCATCTGAAAGTTGAACAGTAAATCGCTATGACAGAGTAAGAATCGATGCCTTTGAGTTGCAGTGTTGGGGAAGTGTACTGAATATCCCATGAGTCATCAAAAGAACAAATGCATATAGCTTGACCAGAGTGTGACCCTGGTGCCCCTTAGAAGCAAGGATGGTGAAACTTTGTCTACAGTACTTGACCGTATGTAGCATTGTCTTGGTAGAGACAATGTTGGTGTTCACCAAAGTCTACAATGACCAGTAAGAAGTGGATGCCTAGAAGAGAAGTATAGTATCCCTTTAAGAATTCCACTAGGCTTTGTTAGCAGTCAGGGATTCAAAGCAAGAAAAGGGATCCAATTCAAACTAGCATTAGGAACTCCTGGACTTCACATGCAGAAAGTTCTACAATAGCTAATAGAGAGATGCAGGTGCCATGTAGTTGAGTACAAATCATAGCAACCCTATGAACAACAGACTGAACCCTGTCCATTCCTGTGCCATCTTCACAATCTCTGACACACTCAAGTCCCTTGCTGCAGTAACTGTGTAAATCCATCTGATTGAGGGTCTTTCTGTCTTTCACCTTTCCAAGCATGATTTCCCTTCCAAGGAATAGCATCTCCTAATAACATGCCCAGAGTATTTGAGGCAAAGCTTTGGCACCTTTGCCTCAAAGGAACCAGCAACAAAAGCAAAGTTAAATAAGATAACAAACAACAAACAAAGGCATTCCCTTCGTGAACAGGAACTAACGAAGGATGTCCACTATCACCTCTCCTATTCAGTATTGTACTGGAAGTCTTAGTGATAGCAATAAGACAAAAGAAGGAAATAAGAAGTACACAAATTGGCAAAGACGAGGTAAAATTCTCTCTCTATGCAGACAATAGGATAGGATAGGATAGGATAGGATAGGATAGAATAGGAGACTTATAAAACCCTAAAGACTCAGCGAGAAAACTACTGGATATAGTCAACCAATTCAGAAAAGTGGCAGCATACAAGATCAACATACAAAAATTAACTGGATTTCTCTATAGTGACAAAGAGAATTCAGAAATGGAGCTAAGAAAAACAGTACCCATCACAATAGCTAACCACAAGATTAAGTACTTGGGAGTAAATCTAACTAGAAACACAAAGTAGCTATTCAAAGAAAATTACAAAACTAATACAAGAAACAAAAAGAGACCTGGAACAATGGAAGAATATACTACGTTCATGGATAGGAAGACTCAATGACAATTATTCCAAAGGCAATCTGCAGTCCCAATACAAATACCAATTCCATTCTTCCACGAGATGGAAAAGGCAATTTCCAATTTCATCTGAAATGGAAAGAGACTCCAAAATCAAAGTACTCCTCAAAATGAGAAGCAAGGTAGGAGGCAACTCCTTGGTTTCAAATTCTACTACACGGTTGGAGTGGTAAAGACAATGTGGTACTGATACAGTCACAGACACATGGATCAATGGAATAGAATTGAAAACCCAGAAATTAGCCAATATACCTATGGTCAATTGGTTTTTGACAAGGAGCTGAAATCAAATAAGTGGGGAAACAGCAGTCTTTTTAACAAATGGTGTTGGCAAAATTGGAGAACTATCTGCGGAAAACTCAAGCAAGACCCACACCTCACATCATAAACAAAACCCAACTCAAAATGGATCAAGGACCTAGGACTAAAATCAAGGACTATAAACTTCATCAGAGAAAATCTTGGAAGAACTCTAGAAGCCCTAATCCACAACATGAACAGTCTTCCAAGCATCCTGAAAAACCTACAACCAGGAGAGAATAAAATAGATTAATGGGACCTTCTAAGAATCATATCCCTATGAACATAAAAAATTTCTCCAACAGGATAAAAAGAAAAGCCAGACTGGGAAAAATATTTGGTAATGACATATCTGATAAGGGATATATATCTAAAATTTATACAATATTCCAGCACTTCAACAAGATAAAGACAAACAACACAATCACAAAATGGGCATAGGATATGAATAGACACTTCACCAAAGAGACAATCAGATGGCAAACACACACATGAAGAAGAGCTCAAAAATCCCTAGCATTAAGTGAAATGTAAATCTAAACAGCTATGAGATATCAACTCATCTCAGTCACAGTAGCAAAGTTCAACAGAGCAGCAAACAACAAATGCTGGTGAGGTTGTGGAGAAACTGGAACCTTTATTCACTGTTGGTGGGAGTGTAAAATGGTGCAACCACTATGGAAGGCAGTATGATGCTTTCTCAAAAAGTTGGAAACAGAAATACCATTTGACCCAGTAATTCTGCTACTGGTAATATACCGTAAAGAAACCAGAGCTGCCACCCAAACAGATGTATACAGACCCATGATTAGTGATGCATTGTTCACAATAGAAAAGAGATGGAAGGAACCCAAGTGCCTATCAACAAATGAGTGGATATAAGAGTTGTGGTATTTTCACACAATGGAATACTACTCAGCACTGAAAATTAAGAAACTAAAAATATTACACAAATTTAGTGACCCAGGATGTCATTATGCTGAGTGAAATATCTCAGTCTCAAAAGGACAAATACTGCATAACACCACTGCTATGAAGTAGGTTTGACATGGGTGGTTGTGAGGAGAATAGGATAAGAGTGACTAGATAGTGAACACTGTATTGAAACAGATGAAGGTGAGAACTGTTTAAAAGGAATATATAATTAGGCATTATATGTAAGACAAAATTCCAGAATAAGAGGCATATTGCAAAGAGGACTGGGATAGGGGAGGGAACTTGGAGGAAGGAGGAAATCACACAACAATAACAATGAAAGAGTTTTTCTTTCTCTTTTCAAGAAGAGTGAATTGGAGGGAGGGGCTAAGCAGAGAGAAAAGTGTAACAATGAATGACTGGAAACCCTAAGACTCTGTAAACTTTCATTTAAATTAATTAAAAAAAAAGTAAAAAAAAAAGAAATTAACTGGGGGAGGGGTCAGGAAAGGGCAGGGAGGAAACTGTGCAATAATGAATATCCATACCCAACTTTTCTGTAAACTGTGGAATAATGAATATCATATCAAACAATATGCAATAATGAATATCACATCCACCTTTTCTGTAAACTTCTGTTAAAATCACAATTAAAATAAAAAATTTGAAAAAAAATAAATATTTTCCCCGTCCCACCCTCGATGTCCTTCCTCTCTCCCCTTCCCCATTTGGACTTTTGTGTACATCTTAGTAGTAATCCCTCTATTTTTACAATAATAGTTTTATGCAGTTGTTGTCCATAAATTCCACGTGTCCCAGCTATTCCACTGCTAGGAATATATACAGAGGAAAATAGAACTGAGAAACAAATGGATATTTGTACACCGATGTTCATAGCAGCATTATTCACAATAGCAAGAAAAATGGAAACTGCCAAAATGTCCATCAACAAACGAATGGATTGAGAAATTGTGGTACATTCACACTATGCACCACTAAGGAGCAATGATATTAAAAATACTATATAACATGGCAGAGTTTGGAGAGTGTTATGTTAAGTAAAATAGCTTTATTTTAGCGAGAAAATAGTAGAAATGGTCTAAAAATAAACAGTATTTGTGTATTTCCAAGTTAATACTGTATAAAGGAGATTTGATTTAAAAAAATTCATAACTTACTTAAAGATCATAGTCCTGAAATCAAGGAATCATCCTTTCTAAAACAAAGATATAGATTATTTTCAGGGATATTATCAATTATATCATTACTAATTAGCAATAAGTGACCCTGTGTATTCCCTCCATCTTCTTTTGATGTTTTCTCAGTCTTTCATTATGTTGCCCACAGCATCTTTCAATATTGTGACAAGAGGCTTAAATTTGCTTTTCAGTTCTTTCAGCTTGAGAAATGCAGAGTGAGTTCTTCTCTCTTTATCCTTCAATTCCAGCTCTCTGCACTTCCCATTATAATGTTTTGTCCTCCTGAGCTGCCATTTGAAATTGTCTGTTAGGCTCTTTCACATCAACATGTTTTCTATTAGATTTGGCTTCTCGACTCCAGTGCAATCTTTAGAGTCTCTTCTGAACCCATTTTTATTTTATTTTCTCCTCTGTTTTTGTAATGCCTTTTTGCTTTCTTCATGGATTATATCCTTGATATCATCCTACAATTCAACTGACCTTTTATCATTGGTGTTCAATACCTCAAACCGATTCTTAAGATGATCATGAAATTCAGATGGAATTGATTAAAGATCATATCTTGGTTTCTGTGGACTTATTTTAATTTTCTTTGGCCTCAGTTTGAACTTGAAGTACCATATGAACAGGAGCCAATGGAGGAAATAAAAGCTGCATTGAAGGCATTGGCAAAAACTAAAGCTCCAGGAATCAATGAGATACTACTTTATTTGTTTCAATTAACAGATGCAGACTTGGCTGCACTCACCAGTTGATGCCCAGAAATTTGGAGGATGCCTGTCTGACCAACGGATTGGAAGAGGTTCATATTTGTTCCCATTCCCATGAAAGGTGATCTAACTGAATGTGGAAATTATTGAACAATATCATTGATATCACACGCAAGTAAAATACTGCTGGAGATCATTAAACAATGACTAGAACAGTACACAGATAGGAAACTGCCAGAAGTTCAAGCAAGAATTAAAAGAGACCATGGCACCAGAAGTATCATTACTGATGTCAAATGGATCCTGACTTAAAGTAAGGAATACCAGAAGAATGTCTATTTCTGCCTTATTTTTGACTATGCACATACATTTGACTGTGTGGATCCTGACAAGTTGTGGCTGACATTGAGAAGAATGAGAACCCCAGAGAACTTCACTTTGCTCATGTGGACTCTATACCTGGATCAGGAGGCTGTTGTGCAAATGGAGCAGAGGAACACTGCATAGTTTGGAATTGGGAAGGGAGTGTGTCAAGGTTGTATTCTATCTCCATACCTGTTCTATCAATATGCTGAGTAAATTATCTGAGAAGCTGGACTCTATGAAGAGGAGTGTGCCATCCAGATTGGAGGGAGACTCATCAATAACCTGTGTTATGCAGATGACACAAACTTGTTGAAAGTGAGGAGGGCATGAAGCGCTTGTTGCAAAAGATCAAGGGATGCAGCCTTCAGTCTAGATTGTGCCTCAGTAACAAGAAAACAAAGATTCTTACCACCGAACCAATAAACAGTGTCATGATGGATGGAGAGGAGAGTGAAACTGTCAACAGCTACATCTTTCTTGGATCCACAATTAACACCCTTGGTATGAGCAGTCAGAAAATAAGGAGACTCATTGTACTGGGGAAATCTGCAGTTAAGGATCTTACCGAATTATTGAGGAGGAGTGATGTCAGTTTGAGGACTAAGGCGTGTCTGATTCAGGCCATAGCCTATTCGGTTACTATCTATGCATCAGAGACCTGGACAAGAATAAAGATGACAGAAAGAATTGACACCTCTGAGTTATGGTGTTGGAGAAGAGCACTGAACATCCCATGGGCAGCCAAGAGAGCGAACTTATCACATACTTTGTACATGTTGCTAGGAGGTGCTATTCCTAGGAGACACATTGCACTGGGAAAATCTGCAGCTAGGGATCTTCCCAAATTATTGAGAAGTAATGATGTCAGTTTGACGACTAAGGTGCATCTGATTCAGGCCATAGAATTAATGCCTGTGAGCTGTGGTGTTGAAGAGCAGCACTGAACATTCCATGGATGACCAAGAGAATGAACAGATATGTCTTCTCCAATGGAACAGATATGTCTTGGAGAGGGTGCAGCCAGAGTGATATTTGGAGGCAAGAATGATGAGGAGCCAGAATAAGGATAATAAGAAAGCTGTAAATTTAAACTATCCATTATAGCCACTATTTATTACCAAGGGGTAATAAATAGCTTAGACCATAAACTTGTTTTATTTTTCAAGTGAAATATGGTATCTTTAAAATGTTATTAACTTCACACTTTCTTTTTTGTACTTATATTTAATCATTGAGATTGTTCACAGCTTCAGTTTGCTCGGCTCCACAGTCAACACTCTTGGCACCAGCAGTCAGGAAATCAAAAAACGTATTGCGATGGGAAAGTCTGTGGTTAGGGACCTCTCTAAAGTACTCAAGAGCAGTGGTGTCTCTCTGGAGACTAAGGTGCACCTGATACAGGCCTTGGTTTTTGCA